CCATATAAAAAGTGTTATTAGAAGATCACTTCAGAGAAGATGTCTGAAAACTTACATGGCCTCCAGAATGAACTCTTGACTCCTGTAATCTGAAACCCACCCACATCAAATAACACGTAACTTTGGGACTTTTTTTTCTTTAGACTGTCATTTCTTTGTGTGTGTGCCATACATTAAACTTCAGGAATCTTCATGAGAGTTGCCTATGTGCATGTCTGTTTATACTGCCCCCCACCCCAGTTTTCTTTTTTGCACTGACCATGCAGAACCCCAGTGCAACTTGGGACTTTAAGCAGCATTTTGGGGATTTGCTGCAAGCATCTACTAAGATGTTTGAATTTAACACTATCAATTCCTGAGCAAAACATATATTGGTCGCACACTTCCGATTCTTGCCTTCCATCTTTCCTCTCCGCTTCCCTGTTTTCTGACAACCCACTTTTCTATATGAAAACTGGCAAACCTTCACTGTGCTTCCCATCTCTGTATGATCCACAGTGAGCTCTGGAGTGTCTCTGGAGTGTGCTTCTGCATTCCTTCAAAAGCTGTGTCGGGGCTTGCAGCTCATAATCCCTCCTCTTGCTTCCTTTGGAAGGAGAGGGGAAGTGCAGGCAGCCTACATCTTTCGGCTGAGATACTAGCACTTCCTAGCTACTTCAAGTTCCTATTTCAAGCCACCTGGGTTGAAAGAGGTTCCCCAGCCATCCTCTAGGAGGAGAAGTCTGAGGTCTTTTTTACCACCAAGAAGTGCAAGGCTGCAGCCCCTGCTTGAAGAGGCTCAGCTGTACATTTTACACCAAGTCTCAGGATCTGATTCAGCCTGTTGAACCTCACAGAGAGAGAGAGACTTAGAATCACACCCGGGATTTCCCTGTAAGCTGCCTGTTGTGGCGTGGCATGGTGTTATGCCAAACAGTTGATCTTTCAGGGAAGTCTGGTCCATCGAGACTATTTTTTCTTGCTCCCTCATTTGAGAGGAAGGGCAGGACAGTAAACAAACAAACAAACAAACAAACATCAACTTCCAAAGTAATCCCAGATTTCAGCTTGAGAAATTAATGTACTAGTCATTTATGCTTTTGATTTTTAAACTGAAATTTCTGAATAAAATGACCTCCCTTGTGCTGCCCTTTCATTAAGGGTTGGTAATAAATGCATATTAATTAATTACAGCATAAATCAAAGACATTCACTGTCTTGAGGCTACAAGCCCACATATATCAGGGGTGAACAACTTGCTCAGAACTGACGTCTGCTTGAGAAACCAGAGGCAGGAGGGTCACACTAAACTTGAATGTTTTAATTGCACATACTTTGCATTTTATATGTAGTTTCCACAGAACCCAGCAGATGCAAAACTACTGTCAGCAGATGTCCTGCACTTATTCTTACAATGCTCTGAAATTGTTTCCAACCCAAATGTGAAAAACATGAACTGAATAATACTGATACAGAGACTTCTTCGCTCCTCTCTCAAACACTGTTGTTACGGAAGTTCTTCTATATACCAAACTGAACTATAAGAAATAGAATGTTCTTTCCATGGAGTGCATTCAAGAAAAGGGAATTAAAAAAAGACTAAGTAAGGAAAATCACTCATCATGGGGTGATGCCTAGATCAATTAACAAGGAACATAATGAATCTGCCCTTCTGTTTGCTTAGCTCCTTGATTCCAATTCTTTTAGACTCTTACTGTCATAATGTTGAACCTGTGGCTACATTCATGAGTATTAAGCATTTACTTAAAAGAAAAGCTCAACATTTCAGGATTCAAGAACAGAAGAGATCATAGGTGGAAATAAAGAATTCTCTCTCATACATAAATATTCACTTACTTCTCTTTTGTATAATATAGATAGTATGGTAAAGGTCCACATTAAGTATTGCACTTCAGTCTTGTGTCCACAACCCCTCCCCAATGTTTGACCCATCTTCCCACCCATTTATAACTTGCATCCAAATCTAACTTGCAACACACCCTAAACTTGCAAAGTTAACAGCACTATGGAAACAACTAAAGCAGGAATAAGACAACAGGGAGAAGAGCCCTAGAACGTGCTGCAATAAACCAAATACAGGGCACACAAAATATAATAAAACAGAGTTCTCCAGAGTACCTAGTAAGATGACAGTGTCGAAGTAGGACTGGGAAGACGCGGGTTTAAATTCCCACTGATCCATGTTAGGGATGTAAAAATGTAGGGAAAGAATCATCTGTGCTGTCCTGAGCTACTTTAGAGAAAGGATAGTATAGGATAAGAAAATAAAATATATAGTATCTTGCTTGTGGAAAACTTAAAGGATCATCTTCTCCCACCTGAATTTCAACCTGCCCAAAGTTTAAAATTCATATCAGAGGCACTTCTGTACATCTCTGCCTCCAGGTGAACTCAGGCAGGTGGTAATTGGGAAATGAACTTTATTACACAGTGATGATGGTCCATTTGAGGAATGCTTCCTGCACCAGTAAAGGAAGCACCAAGCCTTGTATCATTCAAGAGACAAGTTCAAATGTATCTGTCTGACAGGGCTTTCAATGGATAGAAGAAGTTATACAAAACTTGACATTTTATGTCTCTCATTTTTGACAGATAGCTTACACTTGCCTTTAAGTTTTATACTGAAGGTAATAATTTATTGTTCCTGCACATTTATCTTTCACATTTTCATTGTTGTTGTAAGATACTATGAATATGATTTTAATACAACAGCAACTAGTAAATGTTTTAAATAAAAGCATACATAATTATCTTCTCCTTCTAAAAAACCCAAAACCCAAAATAAGAATGCTTGTAGACAATTAATTATGTATACACAAAGTGCTCAGAAATAATAAAGCAATTCATTAACACAATGAGTTAAATTTTAAGGTGACTAATCTCTCTCCTTTTCCTCCCCCTCATTTGGCTTCAGTGAAGAAATACCACTATGACACTGCACACACTTAAATATATTTCAAGTCTGAAGCGTGTGATTTTTGGTCCACTTCCAAAATAACGTTAGCTGGTGGTGTGAAACATCTCTTTCAATTTTCTGCAGTGGATCTCCCTGGACAACACCAGATAAAGAGGCAATTTATCATTCAGCTGAAGGTTGTGCGTAATGCATTATCTGCCTTCCATGAGGATCGGCACATTTTGTGCAAGCCCTCTGTTTCTGCAGAATGACCTACAATCCTCCATTTTGAGACACCATGGCAACACCAAATTAACACAAGGAGAGGACTCTTAGGCAAACGCATTTATTGATTGCTCAAAATCTTGCCATTCATAATTCTATTATCTCCCATGTCCTCTCAACTTCTTTATACGTACAAGAAGGCAGCAATCAGAGGTCAACCCTGAGGGGAAAGCCCTGTGAGAATATAAAATAAAATATACTAATAAAGTACAGACTGAGGGGGTTGTAGTGTTCACCAAGCATCACTTTCCACCAGGGCCTCCTTTAAAAACAAAAAAAAAGGCCAATAGATTATGGGGAAATATATTTTATTATTAATTCTATGCCGCTTTTCCACTTCCAGAGGGCCCTCCTAAAAGCTCATAAATGAACTGGTATTAGTGAATGGGTAAATGGCACAAATGGATGAAAGGATTCAAACTCCAGATTTATAGAATCCACCCTTTCCAGATTCCTTTTGGACTGGAGGTTGACCTCTCAGGAGTTCTGAGATGGTCCAGAAGAGATCTGATCACAGCAGTTCCCAGGAGCACTCCCTGTTCTTTCCCTCCACCACTTCCATAACTTTAGCAAGGCAAGGAGGTGCTGCTTTTCAGGAAGGGCTCCCAGGGATTGCCATGAGGGGATCTCAGGTGCCTCCCAGAAGCTTAGGAGAGCCAGGGGTGGGGGACGTGTCACTGATTCAAAATGGAACCAGTTAAATATGGTTGATTTTGGATTTCTGCCAGTCATTCTCCAAATTAATCTGCTTTAAAAAGAGATCCAAATTGTACCTTGGCGAGGGAGCACTCATCCCTAGTTAGTAGAAATTGCAATTAAAATAACCCAGAGTCTAGTCCATCCATTGAGCTATTTGTACTGCCCTTAGACTGCTTGCTCTCACAGATCAATCAAAAATAGGGTATTTTTGTGGAAGAAATATCACCATCTTTGATCTGCCAATCATCACTTTGAAATCTCCAAAGAAATGTAGCACCAAATGAATGAGAAAAGGAGAGACGGGGGGACGGGAGGGACGGAGGGCGGGAAGCATGAGCTAAACATACTCTATACATTCAATGATAACTGTGAGTGTGAAATGCATTTCAACAGGCTTCTCCAATACCATCAACTTGCACACCACCATTCAGACTCAATTTAAAGGATATTTATAAAGACAATACATTGAAAGATTTCTTTTCAGACTTATTTATTTTTGTAGAATGGTTTAGATTACTTTTGTCATATGCTCTTCAGCAAAACGGATACTCTCCATTCCATATATATTGGAGGCTGCAGATTAGTTTTAGCAATGCCCATGCGTTACAGTTGCTCAAGGGAGAAAAGCAATGACAGCGCTAGCCTATCAGTGCTCAAATAATAATTTGGTTCAGTGTTTTTTAAAAGAAACTGACTTGGTTCCACTGGACCTGACTTCTCTCTCCCCCCCCCCACAGTTACTCTTATTTAACATCTGTATGGAGCATAGCTGTCAACCTTCCCTTTTTTTGCGGGAAATTCCCTTATTCCAGCGCTGCTTCCCACAGCTATCCTGGATTGTTAGATATCCCATAGACTGTCCCCGGGACAGGTGAGGCTGCTGATCCCTTATTTTCGAGGCTGCTGATCCTTTATTTTCAAATTTGAAAGTTGACAGCTATGGTACGGAGTACCATCTGAGGAATGGAACTTACACGCACACGCACACGCACAGAGGTAACTGGTAACTCCAGTCAAAGGTGAAACACAAACACTATCTACCAGATCTACATTCATAGAATCATGGAGTTGGGAGAGACCACGAGGGTCATCTAGTCCAACCCCCTGCAATGAAGGAATATTTTGCCCAGTGTGGGACTCAAACCCACAACCCTGAGATTAAGAGTCTCGTAATCTACCTGCTGAGCCATATCCATCTTTTTTAATCCTGATAGCTGGTGTTAGCAGCATCTGAGGACTGCCAGTTCTTTGTCCTAGGGCCCAAGCAAGACCTGGCCTCAGAAGAAGAATGAGGCCACCTTACTGAACCTATGTAAGTCTGGATGTGTGGAAGGGTGACTGCCTGGGAACTACAAATATGCCATATTGGAAAGAGATGTGTGATACAAAACTAAATTAAAAACATTTCCTAGACACATTTGTGACAAGCACTCTCTATCAGATCCCAAGAAGCCACATCCTTGCAGAGCTCAGACAGATGGTTCCCAAAGAAGGAGAAGTGCTTGCTGGCCTGCCTGGGAACTGCCTCTTTAAGGGATGGAAATTAGTTAGGGATGGAAACCTGAAGTGATTTTTTAAAGAGCTGTCACCAATAAAGCATGCAGAGTTTTTCACCTGTCCCACTCATGCCCCATGCCAGACTCAGGAACAGCAATCCACAGAAGCCCATCAGCTAGGCTTCTCTGCAGAACTCCAGATATCTAGCCTTCTAGTTTACAGAGCAACATCAAGAATCAGCTTGCTCATCTCCTTGCCTTCAGGCTGGACAACCCCAGCTGGTCATGTATCCCTCAGAGTTTGAGGTTCCTGACAAGTCTCACATAGGAACCAGAGGAAGCCTTCTACACTTAGCTTCTAATTGTGCCTTGCACTCCCAAGCAGGACATATGGGACTTGACAGAATGACACAAAGGTCTTGAGCACTCAGAGCACGAGAGATACAGATTTCAAAAGTATGGCCAAAAAAACCCCACCTCCAACAAGCTCCTCAGCATCAACAAGTTTTATGAACACATGCCGCTCATTTACACCGAGTCAAAGAGTCAAGTCTGGAAGTGCTTTGACAAAGCTATTGTTACCATCACAATAGCAGGCTTTTCGGCACTGTTCAAAACTAACAGTTAAGAAGTACAATTGGCAACTGACAACTTCAGGTTTCCCCTCTTTTCTTCTGCACTCACTTTTTTCCATAGAGACCCAATCTCTCTTACCCTCTTTTTCTCCCCAAGATGTATGTTTTCAACTCAGATATAATGTCGAGGGTGTCAAGGTCACACTGAAAAGAGTGTTTTAAAGCTTTCGCAGTAAATCCAGTGCAGCATGCAGCAGACATTTTGTTTAGTATTACCTCCAGAATTACAGATGGCCACACAAAAAACAACCCGTAGCTCACAGAAGAAGAGTTTTTAACAGCACCAACTTTACTTCACTTTGTCACTTTCCCTAAACCAGCGAAGTTTGTCAGACTCTGAAGGCTGAGCCGAAAGAATTGCATACAATACATTCCATCATTCACTGTGCACAGCCTCCACTGCCCTTTCCCTAGCGCCCCCCTGGCAACATCATGGCCAGGCAAGGAGTCAACTTTGTCCTCCAGACTAATTTCCTGATGCTCAGAAAGGAAATCAACTCTACATAGTCATGACTTTGGCTGGTTTCAATCAATAATCTCCATAATTTACCAGTGCAAGTTTTCAATGGTTTCAAACTACATTTGCCCTTTACAGGGAGATAAAATAAACAGAGAAAAGGTGCTCCTAATCCAGGGCTGCTGAGTAAGATAAAGAAGAAAGGAAGGAAGGAAGGAAGGAAGGAAGGAAGGAAGGAAAAAGCGAGAACTGATTCCAGTTTAACTGCTTGTGCATTTGATCAACGCTGCTCTCAAAGCAGAGAGACACAAAGCAACAGATACATTAAAAGGAAACTCATTTCTGATCAGCAGTGTCAAGTACTCAAGAGCAGACTGTCTTGTTTGCAGTCAGTTTTTCTACCAGCCTGCCAGACTTTTAATCCATTAACCATCAGTTGTGTCTGTGGGAAGATACACATCAGTGGTAAAAGAGGAGAGCGAGAAAGAAAATAGTTTAAGGCCAAATGCATGTTATCTTTGAGACTGGAATTCTATATTTACATGTCAAGAATAAAAATAAACACTTGCTGGTGAGCCTCTTTTTTGAGGTGGGGAGGAACACTTATTAGAATACATTTTTAAACGACTGGTTCCCTTTATATCCCACCCTTTCCCCCAGGCATCTCGGAATGGCAGTTTTGCTTCACACAGTGAGTTTCATGGCTAAGCTGGAATGTGAACCAAAGGTTTCCTGTACACAAAAGCCTAGCCCTCTGGACCAGGGAAATCAAACTGGCTATCCCTGGAACTAATATGAAACACAAAGCAATTATTATTGTTGTTACTATACCTATATTAAGCTGTCTCATAACACTGTTCTGAGGGCAACTCACAGATATTTTATAGTCACACTTCTAAATGTTTATTCAGAATAAACATGAGTTGGACAAAAGAAAAAAGAAAAAGGTGAACCAAACCATCAGCGCATCAGAGCATCCCACTCACCATCAGTTAGACTTCTGGATCTCACAGAAACTACCACCATGAAGAATGGGTTATACGATGTTGTCCCTAGTGGGGCAGCACAGTATTCTTAATAGTGGTAGTTTCTACACTGAGATCCAGAGAAAGGAGAGTTCGTTCTGAAAGCAAAGCATGTGCTCTAGGCTTGGTGCAAAGACTTTCCTTTCTTATTTTCCTTCTGACAGTGGCCTCATTCACACATAACAACAAGCCTTGGTTAATGGCTTAATGGGATGAAGTAGCATGCTAGTGCCTGCTGCCCAGTCACTCTCTCTTTCCTCCTCCCCAGATGCACTGGCTTGCAGAGGAGCCCCCAGGGCAAGGCAGGTCGCTCACCAAGGATTACTCCTAGTAACAACTTGCCTCTGACAAAGGTTGGAAGCAAACACAGGCACTTGGAGGCTCTGCTTCCCAGTTCACCTCTCCTAGGCTCCACCCCTTTGTGGAAAACAGGGCTCTCTTATTAAAGGGCCAACATTTTAAGGCCTCCTACCTAGTGCATTCTCTGCGCTGTTGGATTGGCCAGGTACTGTGGGCAGTATTCTGTTCCTCAAGTCCGAGGAAGACACTGTGAATATTCTACCCTTGGTTTCACAGACCCTGGTGCTGTGGGATCTGGTTCAGCAAGCTTCTGCCTTCCCAACCTCAAGGTTCAGCTGGCCTCTCAACAACATGAGGCTCAGAGCAAGGAACCCGGTCTGGCTCCTTAGCTGGTAGCACTGTAGCCTCAGACTTTGTGTCCTGATCACGGATGGACTCTGGAGTCATGACAAAGATTGTTATCTCTCTTGAAGAAATTCTGGTCATGGTTTGCTAGCAAGGAGGGGGAAAACCCAAATTCCCAGGTCCAGGGGTAACATCAAGCCATGATTTGTACTTCTGCTTGCACCAAGAGAAAAGTGAAGTGGGAGTGATAAGATGCACTAGAATGGCTTATCCGTGTGTGGACTAGTCTTCATTTACTCCTGATTTCTAGTACAAAATGAGAGACCTGAATGAATCCTGGCCGGGTTTCATACTCATACAAAGTTACTTCAAGGTACTTGGCATTCCCTTTAGGGAACTTTGTTTACTTCACACCTTTGAGACCAAAATAACCTACCTGGTCTGGAGCAAAGACCTTGTTTCTAATCTTGGCTCTATCTCCCACCTCCAAAAGCTTCCCATCACCTTTCTTCTTAAATAAGTCACTTTGACTTCCTTCACCTCCACCTTGTCTTGTATATTTAGGTGTTAACCCTGTTCAAGCAGACACCACGTCTGCTTCTCGACAGTGCCTTTTTCATGGGGCCTGTTTCTGTCTAACTTTGAGCATTTTTAAAAATAGGGTTAGCAGACTTTCTGTGAGTTCATGGAGCCTCTTAGGAGGAAAGAAACTTATTAGGCCATAGGCCTATTGGCCTTTTTATGCTAAACTGTTTTTGTGAGTTTGGATAAACGAATGAATTGTGAATGTAATGCTGTCACTACCATATTGTTATTTATTCTACTAAAACAAATGATTGATCTGGTCTATGATCTAGTTGAGCTTTCTGCATTGCAGGGGGTTTGACTAGATGACCCTCACAGGCCTGTCCAACTCTACAATTCTATGATTCTATGTTAGGAATTGAGCATTATTGTATTAACTACAGAAATTAATAAAACCACTGAATACTCAGCTAGATTCCTTTTTCATTTTTGTACTGTTATGGGGCGGAAGTTGGGAGTGATGTTATTGTTAATACATTTACACCTGCTGTGAAGCACCTTGAGTGCAGTAACTGTGGGAAAGGAGTATAAAGACAAAAACATGTCATGACTCAAGTATGCTGCCAGATGTGAGCATCAATGAAACTGGTGGACTGGATGACCTGTGAGATACCTTCCAACTCTATAGTTCTATGAAGCTGTTCAGGTGTTCAAATCTTTGTTTGAGGTCTGTTCTTCTTTGTTTGATGGGAACTGTAGTCTAAGGACTCATGGAAGGAGACAGTCTCTCCATCTGTGATTTACAATGACTGATAAAGCGGTCGGCTTGAAGAACAGAAGGCTTTAGAGAAATCTAAGAGTGGCTGGTTGGCTGGGCATGGGTTGCTGTTGTCCACCCACAGAAGAACACAGACAAGGTACCACTGCCTCACAATTCTGTAGGGCACTGAACTCTGGTTCAAGAAGCATCCTTGAGTACTTTAATCCAGCTTTTCTCAGATAACACGTCAGTAGCCTCTACTGGTTGTGAGTTATAACTAGCAAACGACAGTGTTTTTCTCATGTTTCTGGTTAATACCATGTAACTGGAGCCACAACAGTAAAACACAGACATCATTAAACAAAGGGGAGAGGGAGGTAAACCTCCCCACCCCAGACAAGCTCAAAAAGCAGATCACTGTGAAAGACAGAAACAATCCTGCTGAAGCAGTGCCTCCACACAGGGGTCCTTAGATGCAGCCAGTATAAAGTGCCTTTGACTTTGACGCGCTTCGCAATGGAGACACAGATGAAGTGGAAGATACTGTTTGCTGGGAGCATGTAGATACAATCCCCTACACCTACTTTTATTCTTTTTAATCATTTCATCTGGTTAATGTACAACATTCAAAGGGGCTGAGAAAGCACA